CACACACATACACACACACATGCACACACACACTCACACACGCACATGCACACATACACTCACACACACACGCACACACATGCACACACGCACACATGCACACACACGCACACACACGCACACACACTCACATGCACACACACACTCACACGCACACACACTCACACACTCTCACACTCTCACAGACACACACACTCACACACACACATACACACTCACACACACACTCACATGCACACACACATGCACACACATCACACACACTCACACACACTCACAGACACACACACACTCACACACATGCACACACACATGCACACACACATACACATGCACACACATGCACACACACATGCACACACACACACTCACACATGCACACACACGTGCAGGCAGGCACACACACTCACACACCGCACACCCATGAATTAACTCGCAGCATCAGCAGGCGACACTGGTCGTACCTGTTACTAATGCGCGTGCCCGCGCTATCGCGCCCGCGCGCGTTGCTGCTGCTGCTGATGATGTTGGCGATGATGTTGTTGCTGGCGATGATGTTGTTGCTGGCGATGTTGTTGTTGGGAAGGAGGTGTGGATGCTTTAGCTGGGATGAGCGCTCGCGTTAATGCGTCGGGCGCGTTTATCTGCACCGCAACTGCCGCCATCTGGCATCATCATCATCAGCCTCATCAGCTGTTCCCACCTCCCTCTCTCTCTCTGTATGTCTCCATTTCAGCTCGCCTCTTGTGCCTACGCGTCGCGTTAGATGAATAGTCGGTGTCCAGAACGTCTCGCTGCACGTGTGTGTGTGTGCATTGTGAATGTGTATGAGTGTATGTGTCTGCTCGCTGACGGCACTCGCACAGCGGTGTGTGTGGTGGATGTAAGGGATCTCTTTGCCTTCATCTTTGTGCCTTTATATTCGTGCCTTTTAATGGGTCTGTGACTCTAGCCGTGGATTGAGAGTGGCTGAAAAATATTGTTCATGGGTTTGTACGCGTGTCTGGGTTATGTTCCTGTGTGCATATGCGTAAGTGTGTGTTTTATGTACGAACGTGTGTATGTATCTTTATGTATGTGTGTCTGCATACGCATCTTATGCACACGCATCTTATGCACGTGTGCGTGTATGGACGCGTGCGTGTGTTTGTGCCCGTGTCCGTCTGTACGTGAGCACGCCTCTGTGCGTTGAATGGACACGTGCGTTCGCGTTTTTTCGTGAGCCGAGACTTCAAAACAAACGCGCGTGCGATGATCTCCGTGGGGTCGCGTGCGTTGCACGTGGCCGGAGCTCGAGTGCTAACCCACGACTGTTGGTGCCGACACGACCTGCTTCTCCTCACCACCACCGCTACTACCAACAACATCCACCACCTCCACCACCACAAAACGCCACTATCACCACCACCACTACCACCACCATTCCCATCACCATCCTCTGCGCCACCGCTACAACCACCACGACCACCAATCCCCACCACCACACCACCACCACCGCCCAGAGGTCGCAACCGGGTACCCGATACCCGTACCCTACCCGATACCCGGCTACCCGTACCCGGCCGAGTACAGGTACGGGTAGCCGTTTGCGACCCTGGTACGGCCGGGTACGGGTACGGGTAGGCCGTGAGTCACTGGTGAGTAACCGTTTGTCACTCATTTCGGGTAGGGTACGGGTACCCATTTGCCACCCTGGTGCGGCCGGGTACAAGTACGGGTAAGGAATCAAAACCCGTTTGCGACCTCTGCCACCGCCCCCATCGCTCCCCGCAGCCCGTGATGCTGGTCCCGCGATGGAGTTCCCGGAGCACAGCCGACAGCTGCTCCAGTGCCTGAGTCGCCAGCGCTTGCAGGGCTTCCTGTGCGACTGCACCGTGCTCGTGGGCGGCTCCGAGTTCCGAGCGCACCGTGCCGTGCTCGCCTCCTGCAGCGGCTACTTCCACCTCTTCTACCGCGACGAGAGGCCCCGACGTGGCTTCCGCGACCACCTCGGCCTCCGAGGCCGGGAGAGGGGGGGGGGGGGGAGCGGGAGCAGGAGGAGGAGCAGGAGGAGACGGCGGGCGACGCGGCGGAGGCGACGGCGGTGGCGTCGATCTCCGGGGGGGTCCCGAGGCCCCCCGCGGAGTCCGCGGCGGGGCTCGTGGTGCGGCTGAACGGGGACGCGGTGACGGCGCCCGCGTTCGGGGCCCTGCTCGAGTTCATGTACGAGGGCCGCCTGCGCGTGGACGGGCTGCCCGTGGAGGACGTGCTGGCGGCCGCCAGCTACCTACACATGTACGACATCGTCAAGGTGTGCAAGCAGAGGCTCCGAGGACGTGGCGACGGGGTCGGGGTCCCTGCGCCAGAGCGGTGCCCCCGGCCGTGTCCGGAGAACATCTGCGTGAAGATAGAGGCGGGGGAGGAGGAGGAGATGGTGTTGGCGGCTGTGTGCGGCGACGAGGGCGTGAGCAGCGTGCGAAGCGTCGCCGAGGGTGGCTCTCACGGCGGTGGCAGCCGTCTGGCGGCGAGGGCAGCGCCGTACGGCGCGGCAGCTGGGAAAACGGCGTCAACGGCTCCATTGTTGCGCGGCGGCTCTGGCATCTCAATTAAGGGCCTCGGTGAGAGCGCGCTCGACCTGTCAGTCAAGCCGGCATCTGCGGCGGCGAGGGCGTGCGACCCCGACCTCCCGGGGCACACGGGCCTAGGTGAAAGGGAAGCGGCTGCCGCCGCAGCTGTTACAGCTACCGCCGCCGCCGCCGCTGCTGTCTCGGCAAAGGGCCTCCTGCTGCAGGAGGAGCGAGGAGGAGATTGCGACGAGGAGATGTGCGACGCGGACGAGGACCCGGCGAGGAGAGCGGACGACCTCGCGAGCAACTCGTCGCACCGCTCCAGCGGCGTGAGCTGCGAGCTCTCGGAGAAGGTTCCCTCGACCTCCAGCGAGCTGGACCACGAGGACGACGTGGGCAGCTCGGACGAGGGCATGGAGCCAGAGATGAAGCCGCCCGCGTCCCTGGGCCACTTCCGCTTCAAGGACGAGGCGCTGCTGCTGCCCTTGTCGCTGCGCGAGGGCGGCGGCCCGCTGCTGGGCTCGGCGGGGTTGGTGTTCGCCTGCCCCCTGTGCGGCCAGGCCATGCCGTGCCCCCAGGCTCTGCAGATCCACCTCAGCCTGCACTTCAGCGAGCGCCGCGCGGAGCCCAAGGTGGAACGCGTGGCGGGCCACCGCGGCCCGCACGGCCTGCAGCCCCATGGCAACGGCAAGGTCAAGCCGCCCCTGCCGCCGCCCCCGCCGCCGCTGCCGCCGCCTCTGTGGCGCGTGTCCCGGCGGCGCGGCGCCGTTCGGGCCGGGGCCCGTGGGCATCGCGGAGGCCTCGCCGCCGGCCCTCGGCGGGGCCGAAGGGGACGTGCCCACGTGCGCCACGTGCGGGAAGACGTTCTCGTGCGCGTACACGCTGCGGCGGCACGAACGCACGCACTCGGGCGAGAAACCCTACACGTGCGCCACGTGCGGCAAGAGCTTCCAGTACTCGCACAACCTGACGCGCCACGCCGTGGTGCACACGCGCGAGAAGCCGCACGCCTGCAAGTGGTGCGAGCGGCGCTTCACGCAGTCGGGGGACCTGTACCGGCACATGCGCAAATTCCACGGCGGCCTCGCGGGCTCAGTGACCGCGCAGTGAACTCGCCGATGGCTCCCCGTCTCTCCGTGCGGGATCCGCGTGGCGGCGGTCCCCGTTGCTCCGTTGCCCTGCACTTCTCGCCGGTGATCGTTGCCGAGATGACTCCGCGCGGGGGTTCCGTGGGCGCCGTGGGTTTGGCCCCAAAGTGCAAAAAGCGAACGCAGAGTGTGGAAAGTGGGCTGGGTTAGACGCCTGCAGGGCGGTGATGGAGGGGTGGGAGGGGGGTCATAGGTAAGGTCAAGGTGGCCAGATAGTGAGATGGGTCCGGGTGGATGGTATGGCTAGAGGTAGGATAATCTTTGAGTGTGGTTGATGTTTAGGGATTGTCTTGTAGGCGAGGTAGCTAGTCTGATACCTGATATGATCAGGGCGAGAGTCTGGTTGAAAAAGTGTATTAGAGCAAGGGCTGCTCTTCAGGGTTAGAGCTCGAGTTTGGGTGGCTGTCGCCCTTGTAGTTCGCCTGTCACTTTTGGGGCGTCAAGTGCCCCATCCTCCCCCCCACCCCCTCCCATCCCCCAGCGATGGCGTTAAAACCCAGAGGGCATTCATCAGCAGTGCTGGGCCCTGCGTGCAGGAGCCACTGTGTGCACGTGTACAGAGCGTGCTCGCCCCGTATTTTGTTTACGTCCACACGTGTACAGGTCATTAACCCAGGCCCACTGCCGAACTCAAGCTCCACACCTGGGCAGCGTGAGTCTGGTACTGCCGGGAAATTAACCTTTTCTTTTGTTGTTGTTGTTCAAATCCGTGCGGCGATACGTGGCGGGACTCTGTGTGAAGAGAACAAGGACTAATCACTCACCGACACACACGCTTCACACTCGAACCCCTCCCCCCCACCCCCTGGCACACACTCGCGTGATTTTTGAGTAAACCTAACAGGTATAGAACCACTGTCTTTAAGATATATAAATATATATTGATATTACACCAAAAAGCGTCGCTCTGAGACGTTTTATGAGACTGAGAATATCGAGTGAATAATTAATTATGCAGATGAATCATATGCGGTGTGAGAACAAAGGCAAAGTGTGGTGGCGGAGTTCACAGTGACACGTGGCTGCTGCTGCTGCTGTTGCTGCTGCTGCTACGACTACTACTCGTGTATCTGTATAGTCAGCCTTTCCTCAAAAGAGCACTATGAATTGAACACACACACACAGAAGAGAATATAACTCACATTTTAAGAAGGCTTCCAGAAAGCGAAGTGAGAAAGACTTTTTTTAACTCCACGAATTGTTTTTTTATTTAAGAACCGCAACAACAACAACAACTAACATTAGAAAAATATAAATATAATAACCCCAATTACTCCCAGACTTTGTCCCCAAAAATGCAATGTCGCTGTTTGCTGTTTGTTGTGTAAGTTGCTTGAGCAATGCAAACTACGCGTTTCTCTGACTGGTTTCCAATTTGGGGGGTAGGGGTATTGCCTCCTTCCGCCCTCCACTTTACATCATAGGAAAACAAAAGTTTCCTCATTTGTATTCATCGCTCTAAATGTCAGTATTCAAGAGGGGGCGGGGGGAGGGGTAGAAACACATTTAAACCTGCAGGCCATTCGTCAATCTCACTTGCCGGATGAGGGTCTTGCCGGTTTTTTTGTGTGTTACCATACTTCACCACGCTGGTCAATGCGGAGAGCGTAGAACACAATTGGCGGTCTCCTTTGCGCTGCCCTCTGCCGTACGCTACGCGGCCACGCACCCGCGACCTACGAAGACCAAGCCAAGCAATGAATCCATGCTCCAGCCTGCGTAGCTTCCGAGTTAAGGTGCATTCCAGGAAGAATACAAAATAATCCCATCACGTGTAATGTAAAAACATGTCGTAAGTGGTGGGTTGGGGGGGGGGGATTTTTAAAGGAAGGTTCAACTTAAAAAACGAAGGTATAGACTCTTAATTGATTCTCCAAACAGATTTTACGCGAATAAAAATCACAACTTATTCGTGCCAAAACGTAGGAAGACGACCCCCTAATTGGAAAGCCAGTGCCTGACCACGCGCGCGCGCACACACACAGTCACCGTCCACTGTTTGAATGCGGTTGACGTCCACCCTGACCGCTGTGCCTGACTTCACGGAGCTCCGAGTTTACCTGCCCTGTGCCCTCTTCCCCGTGCATTACGCGTCTTCTTGTCTATCAGATCATTATAACGTGCGGGGGAGCGGCGGTGTCGTGGTTAGCGCGCCGCGCTACGAACCCGGCGACCCGAGTTCTATTTCCCCGCTCACGGCCAACTACCGGTGACGATTATCCAATCCGGTCCTGGGCCTCCCGTAGGTCGACTCAGCCTCAAATGAGCGTCTGGTGCGGTGTGTAAAACATCGCCACGAGGAGGATAAATGTGGCAGGACGAGGTTGTTGTCCACCCACCCCTTCTCCATGGGCGCCCCGTGCCGGCCTTCCTCCGTGCTCGCTAACAGCACTTACCCCAACAGTCTGTGAAAGGCTGCGAGGGGGTTATTTGGTCTTTGTGTAAAAGCGACGGGCAGGTGCCACCTTCCCAGCGATATCGGCTTCAGCGCGCCAGCCTTGAACAATCGATTGGTGTCGTTCGTATTGACCCGAGATTCTTTAAGCGCGATGCACAGGACACACAGATATATATTTGGAATTTGTACGAAAATTTGAGGACAATCTCAAACGGAAGTTGCTGGTTGTTCCGGGTTTCAGATTTGTAATTTTTCCCCCTCCCACATTTGCAGAAGTTTTAAATTCGCAAGGCATCGTTTTTGTTTCGCTCTTTTCCCGCGTTGTAAATCACTCGGCCCTGCCAATGCCGGTGTATTGATTGTTTTGAACGCCGGGGCAATAATACACGTGGCATTTGCTGTGGAATGGGTTATCTTGAGAAGGTATACGCAAAACCAACTTACTTTATTGACAAAGCAGAGAGAGGAGGAGAGGGGGGGAAACACTAAACTTCGAATGAATGAATGATTGTTGTCTTTAATAAAAATCAGATTTACACTGACCAGCCCTGAAACCCCCTTATCGCCGTGACGGTCCGTGAGCACCGTCTGATGGTGGTGTGACACCGCGCGCGCACAGAACTGCAACACACTATACACACATACACTCACGCGCAAAGATCATCGTAGAGCTTTTGACAGGCTGTGGGGAGGCAAGCCAGAGGGTGGGTGGCCAATACCACCCCCGGCCGCCTTTGTTTCCCCAGTGGCGATGTTTTCACATCGCACCAGGTACTTATTTGAGGTTGAGTCGACCTAGGGGGAGGCCCAGGTCCGGTCCAGATAATCGTCACCGGTGTTGACCGTCAGCGTGGATCCAACTAGTGTGGCCGGGTACGGAGCCCATTCGCGATAACCGCTACACTACCGCTCCCCACTAATCGCTACACCCCACCACACACAAGCAGAACTGCATACACACACACGACACATCCCCGTGCTTATCACGCACGCTCACACCACGACACGCATACGCCCCACCACACACATACACCGTTAAACGCGGACCCTCCAATATAACGCAATACCCTCGCCATTCGCCACTAAGTGACGGTGACGTCACCACGGAGCCTGTACCAGGCCAGGTGCACTTCGAGGCTGCCACGTGAAGTGTCGAAGGCTCGCTGGGCAGGAGGTCTCGGGACACAGAAACAGCAGATGCCGTGGGTCGGCTGACTGAAATGACCGGCAGATGCACCACACCAGCTGTGCTCCCCTACCAGGCACCACGGTGGAAGCGCCAACATAAATCCACACCCTCCAAAAATGTATTCACCCTCCACACGTCTATTCACAACCCTTCGACGCATACACCCGTTACGTAGTTATCCCACTCCACACACACACACGCGCGCAGGTATAAGTTCACTTCCCAGCAAGAATGCAACGTTGGTCCAACGACACGCCGACTGCAAAACACGACACACAACTCTGGCTGTCCGCCTGATGATGCCTGTTGTAATCACTGGCGAAACGTCGTACGCCGATTGTAAATGTTGCCGGCTTTACCCTGCAACACAGCGGTGCGCTGAACCAGTCACGAATCGTCACGTTTTGTTTACGTGACAAACCTCACTGATTGGCTGTGTCAGGTGGTGGCGGGTTAAACGACACATTGATATGTACGCGATCGAACGCGAAAAACCTCCATCATGGACAACAGAGGCGTGTGGTTGGGTTTCCCCCTCCCCCCCCCTTTCAATGAACACCGCCTTAACAGAAAACAATATAATCGGCGACGTTTCGAGCAATGACTCTTCTTCATGGCACGCGCACGACTGGTTTGCGCACGCCGGACCCAAGCTAAAGCCCTCCCCGACTCCCTACGGGGCCACGGGGAGGTCCATGGAATTCCTGCCGGAGACAGTGGTGGGTGGGTGGGTGGGGGGCCTCACAAAGCGGCCGCGATCTGGAGGCGAGCTTCGAAGGGCATCGGTTTGACGCCACCTCGTGGGCAAGCCCATCAAGGAGAGGTCGTTCACGCCAGTCCAGCACAATGTCCGACAACCAAAATAACGATAAGAGCCATTATCAATAATCAATGGGGGGGGGGGGGGGGGTTAGATTGCGTAAAGATAAATGTGTCGTTAAAGAGGCATTTCTTTTGGAATTCTGAAGAAAAAAACACCCTCACTATTTCAAGAGCCGCAATGCAATGTGAATAAGAGAAGGGTGGTCCTTTAATAAAGTCACGAAGCAGTCCCTTAAAGAGACGCGTGCGTCTGCGGAGCCGCAGGTTTCAGACGGCTGGCCTAGCAGACAGCAACGGCGACCACCGCCAATGAGAGGGATTGCCCCGGGCACAACAAAAGAAGAAAAAATTAACCCGTAAAAACAAAGTTTTTCACTATAAATCCTTTATATGCGTGTTCAATGGGCCACAACCCAGCCCACATTGGTCTTTGAAACGGGCGGCTAGAGTCCTCTCGTCCTCTGGCTTGAGATGGCTGCCACCTATGGGTCAGATGATTGCCTGCCACCATTAAGCAATTGGTAATTAAATATAAAAAAAAATCCTAGAAAGTGTAAAATTTTGGAAAATATTTTCACGAAAATATCACGCACAACGAGTCTGTGTGCAAAATGTCAGCTCGATTGGATCACGGGAAGTGGGTTAAAAAACGACCGAAAGATTTGCATGGTCGTAAGCGCGCAAGCAAGCAAGCAAGTGAACTTAATATAAAGGATTTAAAAACGACCGAAAGATTTGCACGGTCGTAAGCGCGCAAGCAAGCAAGTGAACTTAATATAAAGGATTTTTTAAAAAAACCCACAGCGCGGAAGCGAGAATTCTATTTGAGGCCCACGGATAATAGAAGTTCACAGCCGCACACACTCGGAAACTCTCTTAGCGCGGTTCTTCACGCCTGCGATGCGACGCATTGGAGTCCGAGGGCTGGTGGAGCGCTGGTCACGTTTTAAAGCATTAAAGCTGCCGGGCTGTGGGGTAGTACAGCAAGTGTGTTCGTGAACACGTGTGTGCGGACGTCTTTTGAGTGTTATCGCTTTGTGCTGCTGTGTATCAGGGCTGAACGATTTGGGGGAAATATCTAATTGCGATTTTTATGACCAGATATTGCGATTGCAATTTGATTTGCGATGAAAATTTTTTAAGTCAAGCTTCACTGTGTAATAGATTTAAAACATGTGATGGAGCATTACCACATACCAAACAAATATGAACTGCTCTATATATTCTAATGCAAGGGTGAGAACTTAAAATATATGAATTGCTTCCTACATGTATTTATAAAAATATTTTAATTGAAATAGAACAAACATAGAACAATTGTTAAGTTAAATAAAGTTATAATAATAAATAATACAATTCCAATAATAAAGTTAAAGGACTTTTCAAATCGCAGCCTTTGCTTTTTGCTAATCGCATTGTCTCAAATTGCGATTTCGATTTGAAATCGATTAATCGTTCAGCCCGACTGTGTTTGGTGCGTTCTCTCTGGGCGTTTCAGTTGTATTTCCATACGCCCAAAAAAAGTCACTGGCCAAACATTGAAATGTAGGACCCTCCTATAGAAAGACCCTCGAGACGCGGAGAGGATTTCCTTCATAAATACGGTAAGCCCTCGTTGAACGCGGTAGATGCGTTCCTGAAAAGTGCCACGTTGAGCGAATAACGCGTTAAGCGAAAACATTTGCCCGTAAATAATGTAACGATAAAGTTTGGCGAGATACGAGGCACGCGCGCACACGGTAAGATGGTGGAACAAATAACGGAGGGTACGCCACCGCGTTATTGTATCACCCCGCGTCCTGCATCGCTCAGCCACGCTGCTCAAGAACAGTTCCGTCATCGACTGCTCAGAACCCGCGTTATAACGGGCGCGGTCAGCGTTGTAACGGGCGCGTTTCGCGTTGTGCTGAAAGTGCTCCCCAATGGAAGAACCGCGTTATAGCGAGCACGCGCTCGGCGATGACTTGCCGTAATCGACGTTACCACCAAACGCGTGGATTCGCTGCAGTCTGTGAGTTGTTCCCTCCCTCTTGGGGCAGATATATAAACTGTACACATATAGCCATGTTGCCGTTTTAATGGCGCTATACCTAGAGTTGTGGCAGAAAACGTTTGTGATGGCGGTCATACACGCACCTGCACTCGATTAAAGAGATTTAAACAACGCGAATATATTAAACAGGGTGTTGTACATCAAGGCCGAATGGATTGACATTCACATGCAAATTTACGCGACTGCGTTGAATGTTCGTTGGAGCCATCGACAAGAAAATCACCGTCCGTAAATGATCCCTTCTTACAAAAAAAAAATAACCCATCACATGAAGCAAACGCGCTCACGGCGGACCATGATCCTGGCCGCCGTGAAACGAAGAAATGGCCACAACGGGGAGCGTATTAATATTAAGTGCGCACATTTCGGTTCGCGAGGAAGGGTTACACATGAAGACCTCTTGCGAAGCAGCACTGAACGTTCTTTCTGTCCTAAGGGATTAAAGGTGCGAGCTTAGAGAGCGGCGTGGGAGGAGTGGGGGGGGGTGAGAACGCAGGGAAACCGCGGCTGGCATTTTGATGGGCGCGCACTCAGCGACCGCTCCAAGTTTCGCGCAACGGGATCCGTGCCGCGTGAGTACCCGACTCGGCCCGGCAGGCGATCTTCAAAGTCACGGAGCGCCGTTTGCACGCGCGCGCGTTCTCAACCTGGGTCAGCGTGATCGGCTGAGAATCAGGCGCGGGCACAATGAGATAAATACAACGCGCGTGCCACGGCAACTATGGAAACGATTCGGGTTTCTAAAAAAAAAACAACTGCGTTGTGGGTAGGGAGGGACATTGCGTGCACAGGATGAAGGGCGGCCGATTGCCGACAGAGGCATTACTGCGGTCTCGCACGAGCCCGGCAAAAACCAACGGGGTAACGCCAAAGCGCAGATGGTGAGACACTTGTGAGGGCAGCCTCTGTTTACGTGTCGCGTGTTTCCCGTGTAGCATCCGCGGGATTTGCCAGAGGGTAGAAGTGTTGGTGATGTGTGGAAGACATCGACGGCTTTAGCCACGATACAATGAGCTCCCACATCCTCTTGCGTTGATGTGGTTTTACAGTAATCACGTGTGCCGTCGTGGTGTTTAGGTCGAACTTTTTTTGTCGTTATCTTGTCAAATATTTCAGTGCTTCACAATTGATGCAAACTTGTTTTTGAAGGTTGTGCATCGAAACCCGTGCTGCAAATGTTTACATAATAAATTGACGACGATGAAAGTGGCGTATTACACACACACACGCGCGCCCGATTGATGTGTGACACGCAGATTCGATTTGCTGGCCAAACGTGAGATGGATTGGAGTTGAACGGTGACGATTGAATCGCTGGAATTTCGGCAATAAGAAGATATGAAGCCCCATTGATTTGTTGCGTATGAAAATATCCATTGATTTGAGCAGAACACATCTTAACGTCCATACAAATCTATTAAAGCACTATCTGTAGTATATTGTATTTTTTTTCCCTATAACGTAAATCAGAAACTCAAACCCACGTGTTTTTTCCGGATCAATATACTAAATGCAATAGGACACATTGGAGGTCGTGCTTACATTGGAATACAACCCCGTTGTTGATCTATTAAAGGCAAGACACACCCAAAACAAGCACCTCATCCAATTTGTGTCAAAAATCACGGTCAAGCACTTCATCACAGCACTCTTACGTGAGGTGATAACTATATTGGCATTGTGAGTGACATCACCTCAGTGCCTGGCCCAACTAACATTATTTTTTAAATCATTAATGAAGCTTAGAACTACACAGGACATGGCTTCGGTACGTATATGAACATCTACAAGGCAAAAACATATTCTTTTTGGGGGATTTTCTTTAACATTAATTTCCGAAGAATCTTGGTCACTTTAAGAGGATATCAATTGAAACTGAAAGGTAAGTTACATTGGAATGGTGTTCGAGTCAGGCAACCGAGGGGTAGACCGAAAACTAGACGGTGTGATACACTCCTGATGGGGTGCATCGTGGAGGTCATGTGCCCACTGTGCACCAGCTGCGGACTTCGTCAGAGCAGTTCTTCACAAATTTTCATAGGAGGGGCCACTTTCGCCCATAAGACATCAGTGCGAGAGCCGTCACATTTGAAACCATTGGGTTTGTGACAGCACGATGGATGATGGAGGGGGTGTTTTCACACGTGTCGTCGGGGACCGCACGTCAGGGCGGTAGTAAGGCCAGCAGGGGTTACTAGTGGCCCGCGGGCCTTGTAATAAAGGAGTAGAAAGCGTTTTCGAAGTGTGGCGGCATCGATGGTTTTGGCCCCGTTGACATCTTTAATTGAAAGTGAATGGTGGGCTCTTTAAAAAGGTCTTCATTAGGCTGAAGATCGGCGATTAAAATCTTCACCTTCGTACGAATGCTACCACCGGGTCAGCCCAACTCCACAGCTATCAACCTGTCGTTCCCCCGCCCCCACACCCGCATGTGCAGTGGCCATGCTACCACAGGTGAAATTCAAGAGCAACCTGGCAATTCGTCAAATGCTTGGTAAAAAAAAGTCAACTTGTTTTGGCATCCTACCAGTATTTACTGGCCTGTCTGCGAGTCAGCCGTTTCCAACCTGGGTGCTTCTCTTACCCCAGAACAAACGGAACGAGGAAACATTTATAGGCATCGAAAAACATAGCTATGACTACAGGTATTAGAATTATGCAATTTTTCCACGCAAGATTTATTTCTTCGTGGAGCTTAATAGATGTGTCATATAAAACATCTGAATAAAAAAGGTTCTCCGAGCCAAAGCTGTATAATACAATTCCAATATGCCAGTGCACTCAAAAACTTTGCTTTGTAGAAGTTGTTCGGGCTATACAGACGGGGCAGCATGGGCCAGGACATGTTGTGCTACAGACCGGTTTGTCAATCCATTGTAATTTCAGGGCGTGCTTCATTTCACGTAGAATTGCAGCCATTTCACAGCAATGAAATGACGGTTTTCCTCATGCTTCCTATAACTTTGGTGAGCTATGACTAAAATAAAGAGCCCTTGGTGCAAGATATTCCAGCAAGTGCTTTACACTTCAAAGAGTAAAAATTGCAAAATTAATGGCCCTGTCCCTTAACCACATTGAATGAGAATGTCGCTCCCCTGCAGCAAGATTACGGGATGCAGCATAATAGAACACAAATCAAGACCATCATGTGTCAAGACAGCAAATAAAGGAAGAGCACAAACGTTTTACTGTTCAGGTATAATTCATTCCCAGTGCTACAGGTGTCACCACTCAAGCCAAACAATACAGATCACCACCAATGCCTCCAAGTTACCTGTGATCAAAAAACTTGCTCATTAATGAGGAAAAGTTTGAAAAAATTTACAAGCGCACAAATGTTAGTTGCTGCATCAATGTGCAAGGTAACACAATTTTAACAAATACAGCAGTGAGTGAGAAATGCAGGACTGTCAAGGTCTGAAGGGCCTGGTCCCAAAACAAGCAGTGTACTTTATGGTGTTTTTTAAAGTCCCGCAAACAGTATGTTTACAAACACATAGATGGCATTTAGCAACTGATGAATTGCTGAAGTTTATGTATGATATAACTTACAACCGCAAGTGCTATATTTCCTTCTTGGTTAAACAAAAATCTATTTTGCTGCATGAATACAAATGTCTGCAAATGCAAGCTTGGACATAATAAGATCTTGAAGCATTAAAGTCACGTAAGGCAAGAACCACCCACTTCAAGACTTGGCTTTATATAGACTGGCAAAATATTGACAAAGAGAAACTGTACAGGATTAAAATTTAACTTTAAAACTAAAAGGCATTTTTCATTTACAACTTAAGGGATTACGTGTTAATTTACTTCCGAAATTTCCTTGTGCGTTTAAAACATTTTGACTAAAATGTAGCAGCATAATAGCAAAATGTCCACATCTCTGTAGCCAGTATTATTTAGGCACACTGCAAATGCAGCCACGATTGAAATCACAACGTTGACATCGTATTAACATCACTGTACAGCAACAAATGCAAAAACCCAAGCGTTAAACTCCTCAATGCTCTGTCAACACCTGTAAATGTGAAGACGTGCAGTCGCATGCATTGCTGGCCAACCCGACCACCATTCGCTGCACCGTGGCTGCACCGCGTGTCCCAGCTACAACCAGCTGCACGCATCTGCACGGAGCAGCTTGCAGCGCCACCTCCTCAGAACAGACGGATCATCGACTCCCTCGCCTTCCCCACGCCGATCCATTTAACTGCACAACACAACATCACAAACAGCAATCAGCACACCGCGATGTCAGCACACCGCGATGTCAGCCTACTGCCATTACGTAGCACGTGCATCACAAATTTAATTTCTCATTCAGTGACGGTGGAGATCTAACGGTGAGGTCATGTTTGCAGTGACTTCCAGCCCACGTTGTGGAAATCCATTTTGCATTCAGATTAATCTTTTTTAACCTTACACAATGTACAGTGAACCTGGTTTGAAATTGCCTTATGTGAATAACGGCACAGGGATTTTTAACTACCAGTTTAATGTACGTTAAACAATCATCATTGTGCGTACATACCACATGAGCAGCCTCATGTGGCATTCAGTTCCCCTTGTACACCACTCACTGACCACACATGCCAATTACCGCACAAGTGGAAAAGAAAATCGTTACGTGGTTAAATTAAGCCTGTAATACGAGCAATAAATGCAATGCTAATCGTTTGCGGGTAAAATGTGGCCTAAGACAACAATGCCAGAGGGACGATGCAGTAGCGGGCGGAGGGCTCACTGGGCACGCTGAGCTGGTTCTCGATGAATCGCACGTAGCTCTGGGCGGCCGCCGGGAGCTCCTCGAAGGTGCGTGCGTCCGCTGTAGACGTGTTCCAGCCCGGCAGCGTCTTGTACTCCACCTCCACCTTGTTTAACACCTCCTGGTTGGCTGCTCGGACACGACCGTGTTTGCAATGAGTCAAGAGCTCGTACTGCACTCGAAGAGGGCAGTGGTCAGAATCTGTGATATTTTTGTCCAACAGGCAGTGTCAGCGGCAGAATTTACTTACCAGGGAAATAAGGAATGGGTTTATCGTCAATTTTGTATGAGATGCCGACTTTAATTTCGCTGAAAACATCCAGGATATCCAGCTTGGTCAGAGCCAGCCTGGTAGGAAAGAGTAGTGCAGGCAATGCGAGTGTTACACACCACCTCAAGCCCATCGGCTGAAAGAAATATTAAACATAATTTCACGTGAAATGACACAATTACAAAGGTTAATAGGCAGCTAAGGATTGCTTTCTAGCTCAAGAGGCATAACTAATTCATGAATCACCTTGTATTGCATAAACAATAAACAAAAAAATATTCAATCTCAAATTTAATTCAGCCTCATAACTTCAACTATTGATTGATTTCCGTCTGCCCATCTTTTCTCAGCCCCGCCCTCCACCGCCCCCCCCCCCATTCCATAGACTTTGGCTTGGCTGCTGCTGCATGGTAGCATTGCTCGCAGACAGCACGAGCGAGGCCTCGGGTCACGCTCGGGTGCATCCCTTACGCGGTAAAGCCGTTGATCATGTGGGCATAGCGCAGGAGCACCAGGTCCAGCCAGCCGCAGCGTCGCTTTCTACCCGTTGTCACGCCAACCTCCCGGCCGCGCGTCTGCAGCAACTCGCCCACGTCCTGCGAGCCCAGCACAAACAAAAACAATGAAAAGCAGCAACCCAACCTTGACTTCAAGTCCCTTCCTTTCATAATGAAGGAAACTTACATCAGCAACTTCTCCATGTAAAAAATTATTGACTTTGTGTTGCGAGGGCGGCCGGATGGTTCAGCGCAGCTGGTGTTACATCAGATCACTGAACCTTTCCAATGTATTTGTGTAAAACGTATAGCTGAAGGGTACACGTATGCTTAGTCTTGCATGCATATGCTACATTTACATTACGATGAAAATGTCTTTACTTTTTTATGTGCCGAGGTTGTTCTTGCAAGGGTATCTTTTTCTGCGCCGAGAAATATTGGACTGCACATTCTTTGCATCCATACGAGGTTGCCCCTTTAAGGGACTATTGCCTCATTGGGCTTTCACTTATAAAGCTATGCATGTAATGCGTTCACATGCTTAAACTCTTGTAAATATATACATTTTAAAGGCATTTCGTTTAATGAACCCAGTGTCCCGTTGTGACTCAAAAACAACCAGATGCACACGACGCGGGGAGGAGGCAGGAGACGGGAGCGGCGTTGCCAAAATGAGTGGGAAGCGCTTACATTTGTCTGCTCGGTGGGGAATGCGCCAACGCCGACGCGGGTGGTGTAAGCCTTCACCACGCCGTAGACCTCGCCCACGTTCTGGGGCGGCACGCCGAGCCCCGTGAGCACGCCGCCTACCGTGCAGTTGGATGATGTCACGAAGGGGTACGTGCCTGTAACGTCCGTGGGAATGGAACACAGGGTTGAACAAGGAAAACGCTTTTCTTTCTTATTTCACCACTGAAACCGCATACCTCAAAATAAGTTGTAGGTTTGTCAAAAAAAATTGTACTGACTACATCATTTCGAAGCGAGGCTAATAAGGGTTGGACTGGGCAACCGTAACATTGCATGATTAGACCATCCTGGAGTTAAGACGTTACACACCATGCACCACTTAAATCAGCTGCCAGCAGACTGAAGCTAAGTTGAACCAAGTGCGAAGCAGTGCAATTTCTGGGCTAGCTAACCCGGTTTCCCAGTGGCCTAGTTTTACCCTGATGGTACTTACAGCGCTTGTGCTTAACGCCAATAATTGTCTAAATATAATGAGACTCAGGTTTTTGTTGACAATTCAGAGGCAACCAACATTGTGGTACAAAAGTAGTATATAAACATCACTGGAATTCGGCATAGCCGTTGACAGTGGTGTAAATAAACTTGTGTATAAATACCCTGCCGATGATTGTCAAAATGAACACGCACAGCCATCATTGTTTTTTTCATCATCAACATCTCAAGAATGTCCACCAGACTTTAGATATTGATGATACTCTTTCATGAAGTCATGCAACTGGATGAAATAAGATTGCTGTCCGACACAGTTGTATATTACATTATAAAAAGCTTTGAGAGTTGGTTATTTTATTTTTTTAAACGTATACTAAAGTTTAAATGCACGAAGGCATCATAACCTATGTGAACATGTTGATAAGTGTGTGTAATACATTTTAAGTTCTTTTAAATTGTTTCGTATCCGTGGCTCGCATTTAAGTAAAGCGATGCATGCAGGCCTCTAATAATGCACTGTGCTGTTAAGCGAGCATTGTTTGGCCCATATTGTCTGGAGAAAAACTTTATAATGCAGCCATCTTTACCGGCATCATTAAGCTACGTGGTCCTTTATGAAAATCTCCGGTTGGTTTCACATTCAAGAGAACCCACGACACCCATACAATTCCTAATTCCTAACAGCCTGCTAGAGCACATGCATATAAACAGTCCGTCGAAGGGAGGTGTGATGCAAATGCCATTGTAAAATGGCCCTTAATGTTCACTCCAAGTGGTAATTTTCTGTTTCATGTACCGCAGAACTTTCTAACTTGCTGTTGTGGAAATCTCTTCAAGTTTTGTTCGCTAAAGGGTGCCTGCTGCTCTGACCAGCTCATAAATTGTTTTCACTTATACATAGCTACTAGCTTACATTTATCTGAACAAAAATTCCTGAACTTTAATTCCCTTTGTCCAAAGGTCTTAAGGGCAATGTGAAAACAGTGCATCTCTCTTTATCTGCAGTTAACAGTGTTGCATAATGCTTAAATATACCGCAATGGGTTTTTTTATTTGATGGCCTAATGCCTTTTAAAAGTTCATGGCTTGTTTTGGCCAGATGTGGATGTTCCAGCAGGGACCAGAATCCGAGTGAAACCCTAGAAGCTGGAAGGTCAGAACCATGTTCCCTGCCAATCAGTCGTGTGCCCTCCTAATCCACTCCCACGGACACTTGGCCTAATGTTAGCACACCATCGTGCAAAACAACGCCTCGCTGCTGCTACTGCAGCAGCCCTTGACCGATTCACAACGCTTCGCCGCTCAAGCATAAGGTTACAGCAGTGGCTAGGATTGCATCCCACCGAGAACTGCCCTGCTAAAACATTTAATCTTCTGAGCTTCAGCCCACCACAGCACTCCCTGCAGTTTCCTGGCTGTAACACAGACTCATAGGCGCTCAGCAGCTGCTGAGACAGTGACAGCTCAAACAGGAGTGTGGTGATTTACAACGCTGCCAGTAAAATGTCATGACTGTACAGAACAAGAAACCGCCTTCTAATGTGCTCTCTTACGTACGTGTGCCTCACTTTCATCACTAACCTGGGAAAACTGAGATGCACACCAGTAAGGTGCAAATATATCGCAAGCTGGAATTCTGAACATCAAGAAGCATTTTTTCCCTGTCTCCGAAGAATGAAAGAACCCAAAAATAAATGTACAATAGAAAAATATAGCATTTTAAACTACAGCAAAACACTCTGAAATTAATACTGAACCTGTGACATAATGTGCAATAGACTAAGTCATAATTTAAACATATAGACCAGAGAGCGGAGCCATTACTTCTGAGAACCTGGGTTCGAATCCAGGCATCCCATTGTGACTAGACCATTTCTTAAGTAGTAGGTGGATGGTCTCCTCATGAACCAGATCGTAAAGGTGGCACGGTGGTATCCGCTTTGGTGGACCATTATCCAAGACAGAGAGCTCACTGCTCTATGCGGGATCCGAATGGATCCTTTGCCTCATGACATTACACCAATAGCGCTATTGGGATAAACTTTAGGGGAAAAAATATGCAATCTATTTAACCTGGTTAATAAATACTGCAGTATTTATGGAAATGTTTTTGTAAGCTGTCGAGATGCAGCTGAAGAGCTATGGAGGGGAATTCCGCCTCCGAAGTCCCATTCCCATACCAAAGTCAATGTCGAGAAGGGCAGCATTGGCGCCCTCCACCAGGATCTTCTTGGGCTCTCCGTGCAGTGCTTCATACATAAAGTACACCCCATCTTTCACCATGGGCCGGATGCGGTCCGCATACACCTGTGCATGGAAACAATTAGCAACTGGGCCGGTAATATTTATAGCCATTTTTTGTTTGAAACATGTGTTTAAGAGTATTTGTCTGCAATAAATGTCCACGTGATAAGCCACTTCATTGGGCAACCATTTGAGGCCAGTGGCTTCTGAAAACGAGCTATATAGCTCAGTGGGCCTTACCTGGGGGAAAAAAAACCCTTTAGTTTTATAGTCTATCCCCACTGATGTGCTAGGCACTGTCTATGCTGCGTAGGCCAAACTGGTCAGTGCGAGTTGAATGCAGGGACCACATACATGGGAGCATATAAGTACAGTACGACAATGTATTGTTCTGCTCTGCTATCCACCACATAGCCTCACAGCCTATTATATCTGTTTTAGCCATGGTGGTCACCCATCCAAACATTATCCAAGCTGAGCTTCTGAGATCAGATGAGATCAGGCACATTGCAGGAAATTTGGACAGCCGGGATAACAAAAATGAGGGCTTAAAATGGCGTGCTTCAATTGTGAAGTGTTCTTTTCATAAGGAATACAATTTGCATCATGGCTTAGCCTTTTATATCGGCTCACCGTTCCCGCACATCACTGAATTTGCTCTTATACAAGAGAATATCCACATCATCTTCTGCCATAATGAGCCTTTTGTGCAACAGCAAATTTTCATTTTGAAGGACATTTTTGTGCCAACCACATGCAAATGTATTAACAGTGAGGTTAAAAATACTGCTTCACCATGATTTTGAATTCCACAATAATCCCCAAACAATGAATTATTGGAAAACTGCTAGGCACACCTTGAGCTTCTTCAGCTGGTCCTCTGTGTCTATTTGCAGAGAAGGGTACATTGTCTGGTAGTGCCGTGCCAGGCCCTTAAACCTACACAGCAAATACATAATTAATAGGAACAGCGAAGCACAAAGCAATCAGAGAAAACTGTAAACTTATTTAATTTGACCACTTTAAAATATAGTTTCAAGAAATTAGCCGTTGAACAAAACACAATGGAATCGAAAAACTTGATTCGCACATCAGGGCCATTTTTCCACCACAATCGCGCAGTCTTAGCATTGTGGGACGGGCCGTTAATGAAGAACTCACCGTTCAGAAAAATAAGTAAAATCTGCCAGAAGATCACAGATGCGAAGGCCGCTGCGGGAAGCCTTGGCCGAGTACACTGGCCCGATGCCTTTTTTGGTGGTGCCCAGGCTGAGAGCGGGGAGCCAAAGCTGGCATTAATTTACAGCACCACAAGCACAGGCACACAACAGGCTATAATGATCACAGCAGAGCCACACATTTCATCAACCGCAACCACTCTAAAATGTAGCCAAGTACAAGCTCATAACGAAACGTAGAGTTACCACTTTTTTTTTGCTAGATATGATAATGGCTTGATAAAATTATTTTGAGAAACGGTGTGCACACTCACTTTTGAAACTTACTTTTTCAACACAATGGTATCAATGAGTGTAGTTATTTCCATTAGCCTCAGATTAGTGTGGTACTACTTATAAAAAACATTTAATTAAACGATTTCACTCCTGTTTAAAGAATATAATTGTAATGAACTCACGCCACCTAGTGGAAAATATATGTAGAGCCGTCTGATTCATGAAACTGAACTGCACATAAGTCAGAATGCTGCTATATGGGCAATTGAGTGCACGATACAAAGAATTATGACAGATAATTTTGACTGTTATTCTCATTATGCAAGATCCTTTTAGTGAAATTGTCCCGATGCACAAATCAGCCGTAAAAAAAGTCTGCTAGTGCGCCGATCCCATAAGTGAAATGTTTACAACATACGGTGCGCGAAAAAAGTTCAAACATACGGGCCAAATTGCTCCATATTACAAATTCTTACAGGCTAGAAAGCAATAACCATGTTAATAAAGAAATTCACAATCATCAATAACACTGCCTTAAAGAGGAAAAATATACAATAGCTGATGTTTTAGGAAATGGCCCTATTTCATCGCACACAAACTGCATTGCCGGAAACGTTGCTTATTACATTATTTGGGTCTTTTGGTAAAGCCACGTAGATAGAATATGAATTCCTGCAGTCACGAAAGCTTTAAGTTGCTTATTATGTTTCACAAAAAAAATTCCTTTTAAGGCAGTGTGATTGACTTGTTATTTGTGATTATGCACCACTGCCAAATTACGTTGTCTTAACCTAATCAGTATTGCAGATAGTTTTTAAAAATATATTTATGCAAATAATAGCTGTGGCTACTATTTCATGAAGCGTAGGAAACAATATTTCAGCAGCTGATGATTACGTGCTTTGCGTCAGTGAATATGCAAAAATAAAATTGGATCTTTTTTTTCTGTTTTCAAACCAAACATTGCACGACTTTGTTCGCAAAGTTCCTCTCCCACCAAATCTCACTTTTTTCCAGCCTCCGATTGGCGTTGTACTTCCTGTAGGCCATCCACATCCTGGTGAAAATCAAACACTGTCAAAACAAGAAGGAACAGTGCAAGGCGTCACATTCATGGTTATCTAATAGCTTTTAAAAATGCATAGAGGTGTGCATTGCATGTACTAAACCTTTATCCGGAGCACAAGTTAAATATAAATTAATGTGTTGCCATTTTGTCATTTAGACCACCAACTAAAAAGACTTGAGAAAACATGGCCATCTAAACAGACGGGTTTCGTCCTCATTGGGACTCATCAGTACAGTACTAGCATAAATGTTCGCTGCTGCCATATATGTCTCTGGGAAAGCCGAAAAATGGAAGGACCATATTAGCACTTGCAATACATAGAAATCTGTAAATGATGAGATAACTCATAACCATAGAAAAATTAATGCAAGCGGGAGACTTGTTGAAATGGGTTTTCTCGTCATTTAAAGATCTGAATGTGACGTTTCTTGGAAAAGTATTCACGTCAATCTGCAGGTCATCGTTATCGTGACCGCTGCGAAAGTTGCAATGCAATGAAATGTGCAACTACAGGATATGCATATATAAATATCCCTACTTACCAATGTGGGCCCTGTCCGAAATGACAAGCCTTTTATCCCAGTCTTTGAGACCTGATCAGAGAGAAAGTAAGAGCACAAAACAATTATGAGAGCAATATTCAGTGATATTCACTTCATTCTGGTGAATACCCGTCAATGCTTGAACTTTACCTTTTTTCTCATTTTTCTCTGCCTCTTCAAACAAGCCAGGGAGATGGATGACAACACCATTTCCTGAACAAATGGAAAATAAAAAAGCTGTTTGATAGCGTCACACACTTTGCTTTCCTTTCACAAAAAAAGCTTTAAAACAAATGCAAGGGGCAGTTGGCATCCACAGAGAAGAATGTCATAACATCCACAAGACACCTCATATAGATGAAAGTGGAGAATGATTATGACATGTGAAACTGTGGCAATAAAGCATCCAAAGGTCAATAATTTTCAGTGTCAGGAGATAACTCGTTACTGCAAGCAGATTGGCCAGTCCCTCTTAATTTTCCTGCCACTCCCCTCCTGACAGCTGGTAATTCTACACCATATCAAGTGCAAAGGCTGGTTGTGTTTCAAAATATAAAATACACGTGATACAATTCTTTGGCAGCCAAGGCATGGCAGACACATGCTACTACAGCAATAATGGCTTTGAAAATCTACTTTTCCAAAACAAACCATAATATACATGCTTTTCCATTGTATCGCACTTGTCGACATAGTTTGTATATACTGAATGCACACAAAGACCAATGCTAATATGTTTAAAAGGCCACAATTAGCGCATAGGGTTATTTCATATTCCTCCTGGATTTGTTGTCAAAGCAAGCATTGGGTCGGGCTCACCTCCATGGCAAGTGCTGAGCCATTGGTGGAAATTACACATTTATATGGCAGTTGTTAGTCTACAAAGGATGACCATTATTTATTGTTAGATACATTTCACATGATAATTTACTATACTGCCCATTTTGTTGTCAATATGCTCGAGTAGAAGCAGTAACCAAGAAAATCATGTTGCCATGCCGTTTGTTTGGTTACCATGCTCTCCACCACACAGGACTGTACTTCCTTTAAAGTAAATAACACACTTGTTCCAGAGGCAATGACTTTGCAAAATACACATTTCTTTGGGGGGGGGGGTCTATTGGTCATGCTAATGGAATCCTTTATATTAAGTTTACTTAACTTTAACAAAATATGTACTGTGCTGAGCCCCCACCTATGTAGGAGGTGGCATTCCTGTTGATGATGCCACTGGGCAACAAGTGGAAGTCGTACTCCACCGAGTCCACGACGACTGTGTGCCCCGCATTGTTTCCTCCCTGCAGGCAGCACAGTGAGGTTTGGGTCCGGTCACATATAAATCTCTCACAAGTTCAAATACAGCAGCAGTGTGGCACCGCGTAACAGTTGATTATAGTATACAGTACTGTATGTCCACGTTTATGGTCGACAAAAGCACTCGGATTGTTTACAAATGTATAATTAAAAAAATATATAGCATTTTACATGTTTCTATTGGCCCGAAAACATTTACTACTATAATGAGCCAATAATGTCTGTGTGTCCCATGCGTGACGTCACTCCACGTCGGCCAGCCCCCCTCATTAATAATCATGAACAGGTGACGTCCTCCACATGGATCCCCCCCCTCATTAATAATCATGAGCGGGTGATGTCACTCCACATGTAGTACCCCCCTCATTAATAATCATGAGCGGGTGATGTCACTCCACATGTAGTACCCCCCTCATTAATAATCATGAGCGGGTGATGTCACTCCACATCGAACAGCCCCCCTCATTAATATTCATGAAGAGGTGACGTCTTCCAAATGGACACCCCACCATTAATATTAATTAGCGGGTGACGTCACTCCACATGGAGGAGCAAGGCGCCTCCTCCCCCCTACTCAGAGTCAACTTACAACCCTCACGACAAAGGCAGAACCCTCACGTCACGTGATCTCCGTAACGCTATTGAGACATAGAAGTAAAAAGGACATCATGATGAACAAGGGATTATAACCTTTAAATGAAATAAGTCCGTGTGACCGCGGCCTTACAAATTGCACACGAATTGATAAAATAAATATCACGTCGCGGTCTGTTTTTCGCTTGCAAGTTTCATATTTACGGCCAAAAGGCTAGTTTGTATATATTTGCACACATTTACGGTCAGCCAGGGATAGAAATCATTGTAAATATGGAAACCTGCCGATTAGCACGTTTGGCTATGTATGGTTCGAAAGACGTTCAACATACATATATGCCAGACTGCTTTCATATGGACACTTTATATAATTCTATTAAGACAATTATTTAGAAACCATGAACGTAAATGTTTTTAGAAATTATATTTAAAAACATATATGGAGCTATTTTCGTTTTATAGTGCATTATTTAACATTGTTTATTGTTTGGATAGATGTTGTGTGTTTAATTTATGCATTTGCTACTGTTTGTACCTGAATAAATCTGAGTCTTCTTTGAAAAAGTATTGATCTTAATGGGCTCTTTATAACATGCTCAGCCATGCTCTAGCCACTTGTTGATGGAAGTCTCAACTCGTCATCACTGTCTCTTGTGATCTTAAGAATCCATCAATCTAGCTTCTGCATGAGCTGATCTCACTCCATCTCTGCTGTGGTCATCCACCTGACACCAGTCTCGACCCAACGGTTAGCATGGTTGGCTCAGTAAGGTGCGAAAGAAGTTTAAAATGCATACATGTTCTAGTGATGTGCCTTGCCCAAGCCCACTTACGTTTAATAGGATGTCTCTAATTTGCATTTGTGCTCTCGTTTAAAGTGTCCGTCTGTCTCAGTGTAATGTGAAGCATGTATCTCTCTACGTTAATTTGAGCAGCATTCGGCGATTGTTTATTTTTCTATCAGTGTCAATGTTTCAGACCCATATGTCAGAGTAGGTGATATGCACCTGTTGAAAATCTTCTTACAGTGTTCTCTGCAACTAATGTTCAAGTCTTGAGCAGCAAGAACAAGTTGTAGCTGATTGAACCGTAATGATTTAGTTAGCAACACATTTACAAAGGCTAGGATGTTTTTACAACACTGCTTTAAAACACATGTGTAAAAGCACTATTTTTAATTCTTAGAATGGGACCTAAACGTTTTCTAAACCCACCCAGGGGTTTAAGCACAACAATAGAATATATGTAAAGTGCACTTTCGCGTTTGTAAAACGTGTGAAGATAAGCCGTGATTTTTAGTTAGTAAAAAAACAGCTACATTTTATAACTGTCATTGCTTCAAAGGTTATTTCCAACAAGAGGCAAGGCTGTTTAAGCCTCGTGACTCGTATTTGCAGCAATGGTTTTAGCAACAACCTAAAAATACCACGTAAATATGAAACTCCTTATGGGAAGCAACTCAAGCAATTCCATAAAAAGTGTTGTCTTTTACAAATGCACGAACATACACAACCATTTTGCCCGTTTCAACTGGAAGCAATGCCTGTCAGCATGTCGTACGCATCTGGAGGCAATAGCATGATGGCACCTGAGAAAGGTACTTTATGTAGTCGTTTATGGGTGTTATCAGCCATTCAAAGTTGCAAGAGCTCGCCAACTTGGTCAGCAGTGATTGGACACTGGTCCAAAGGGCGCGTGGTGCAACCTAATATCTTGGTCCTTGCGGTTTGTTCACACACGGCCACGACTTTGGCCTTTTCAGATTTAGGATTCTTAAGAGTATCAGGTGGCGTTAAAATAAAGCCCACGCCCGATCAGACTGGCTCTCACTTGTTTTTTTTCTACCAGAGTTCAGCCACATTTAAATGACTGGTTTCCTGCCATGACTGAAATACAGAAAATGGGCGAGTTATGACCAAACTTCATGAGTATGACTCTTCTGAAAAACGATTATTTAGATTCTACAAAATTTATCGGAATACGATGTAACTATTTCCATTGTTCTAAGTATACAATGAGGGAAAAAATACATGTTTCACGGCACTTGAATTTAACGCGTGACATTTAACGTGGCTTGGCATTTAATGGGAAGCATATGCTTGTGTGTCAGGACAAAACGTCAATGCGCTCTCGGCTGTCGCATGACCAAAGTGTTTCATAAAACGTGGCAGGGTTGCAAATAATCTATCCACCACACCTTGTACCTACGACTGCGTTGCAGTGAATCTGGATGTATTACTGTAATAACCAAGGGAACACATACTACACATGCAGCGTTTGATTAACCCCGTCCAAATTCAATGCAACTCAAAACGGTGTTTGCGGACACTCCACCCGAGTATGACGCAGTAAAAGTCAACGCTTTACTGCAGTTTTATGGCGTAACTCTTTCACGTATACCATTTCGAGAACATACATTTTACATGCATGTGCTTATTACAGTTTCCTGCAATAATACACTTAATGTAAAACTGTAGAGCAAAATATCTTCGGGTTAGCTAATCATAAACCCAACGGAGTAAGCATCGCGATAAACGCGCAAAGATATTAACGTTTGCGGTTAAGGTGATGGCCTATGCGTAGAACCATGAAGGTTATCGGGTGATGGTAAAGTAAATGGTTCACCCGTGATAAACGTACATAGGCCTTCATGTTAACCGGTTACACCGCCCACGGAGAGAATGTTCTAGAAAACGTGCTTAAACCGTAGTAAGGCGTAGGACATTAACCACGACAACCTTGCACGGCTTCTTAACACATACTCGCGAATCGCACGGTTACCCGGTGCTAACCCCCCCCCCCCCCCCACGGGCAGGGAGGTAATGTTGTTAACCCGGGCAGGTGATGAGAGATAACCTCGCCACTGTATGGTGTGAAGGGGGCCTTGTGGCGGCGGTGCTGGAGGTCACACCGACCCCCAACGCCGGTGAACTTCGCTCTCGGAGGCTCCTAAAAATAAACCCCGAACGAACCCAGGACGGATTTGGGGCCCCTACAACGGAGCACACAGCCCTGCCGAGAGGAATCGGTGCCGACGAGAGAGGGGAGAGAGACGGGACCGAGAAGACGACGACGACGAGGAGGCGGCGGCGGCGTTAATCGAGGGCCCTCGGGCGCGGCCTAGGCTACGGGGGAGCGTGAATCGCGCGAATCTTTTAATAAAAAAACCAGCGGGCAAAAACAAGCAACTCGGCAAACTGCATCGCACTCAACGCACACAATCTAAAGGTCGAGACAAATTAACAAAAAAACAACAAAAATCCCCGCGCTCGCGAGACGTCACGCGCCGATGAACGCCGAATCGCGGCCGCCTCAAATGTTGGCAGTGAACCCAAACCAAGTCACCGCTCTCGCCCCCCTCGGTAAGTTAGTTCGTAGGCATTTAAAGTGTCTAGCTTTGGCCGAGGTGACGACAGAGAGAGAACACAAATACAACTCACTTGACAGCGGCACACGAGGTCGGCCGTCGTGGCCAGCATGTCCACCACTTTGCCCTTGCCCTCATCGCCCCACTGCGCGCCCAGCACCACCGTGATCTTGTTGCCCAGGCTGGGACGGGGCCGCTTGGACGCCGGAGAGTCGGTGGCCTGTTCGCCGTTAAGACGATTTTCCGCGGTTGACGCCATCGCTGAGGTAAAAATGCGCGCTTCAAGTCGTCGTCGTCGTGGTCGTCACCTCCCGTGTCCTGTTCCTTCCTCCCACCGCACCGGCGTCGTGCTGCTATTTTGGCGCCAACGTGGGTCGATGGTGCCCCCTACGTCATCGCGCAACCGCGCTACGTCACCGCGCAACGGCGAGACGTCACCGCGCAACGGTATTACGTCATCGCGCAACGGCGCTACGTCACCGCGCAACGGGGACGTGGGGCGGTGGCGTGACGTCAACGCGTCGCGTTGGGTTACGTCACGACGTAGAAGGGGCGCATCGGGGCTGCTCATTTGCTGGAGTTACGGTGGGGTGGGGGTGGGGCGGGGGTGGGGCGGGGGCGGGGGCGGGGGTGGGGCGGGGGTGGGGCGGGGGTGGGGGTGGGGTGGGGGTGGGGTGGGGGTGGGGTGGGGGTAGGGGTGGGGGTGGGGGTAGGGTGGGGGTGGGGTGAGGGTGGGGTGGGTGGGGGTGGGGTGGGGGTGGGGTGGGGTGGGGTGGGGGTGGGGGTGGGGGTGGGGGTGGGGTGGGGTGGGGTGGGGGTAGGGGTGGGGTGGGGGTGGGGTGAGGGTGGGCTGGGGTGGGGCGGGGGTGGGGCGGGGGGTGGGGCGGGGGTGGGGCGGGGGCGGGGGTGGGGGTGGGGGTGGGGTGGGGGTGGGGTGGGGGTGGGAGTGGGGTGGGAGTGGGGTGAGGGTGGGGTGGGGGGTGAATCAGAATCTGAAAAAAATTCCTGGAGGAATCCGACTATCTGTAAAGCTCTTTTTTCACGCATGTCAGTTGAGACTGGGCCCACCCCGTAATATAAGTGCATACCTGTCAACCCCTTATTACAGACAAATTCAGACCTTATTGGTCACGCCTTGCCCTTAAAAATCTCAACGTTAATCCTACAAAATCCTATCACAAGGGAGAAACACAAACAAATATAACTCGTTTTTTGCTGCCCGTATTGAATCGGCTGTACGCCGTACGGACCTGAAAACTCAATTTCCCTGTACAAGAATACGGGTAACCGGTGTGGGTTGACAGGTTAGTGTAAATGTGGAATTTATACCACTGCATGGTGATGCCAAACAAAGCAAACGAACAGTGATGCAAGTTCCTACAAGAATAAAGCACGCAAGTTGTGAATTGAATACAGAAAACATTTAAAACACCAAAAATGTTCATGATTAATTCTGCGGGGTTTATCAAACTTCGGCCAAACAAGAGATACAAATTGCCCACCACTTTTCAGTTTATTTCTCTCCTGTGCTTTTCATCCCACACATGCGCTTTGATAAAGTGTGCCCTCTGCTACAAGCTGGACAAAGACCCTGCGCCATCGACACATCTCAGCAGCCTCTCACGTGCATTACACTGGTCAACACACTTTTTTTGGTATTAAGGTATTCAAACGGGTTTAAGGTAATTTTGGGGTGCTGATTCCAAATCTGGCATCAGTTTTTGTTCTATCACATCAGGTTTTTGAGATATCAAATATTGCATTTTTCAATAGAAACTGCAGAAGGAAAATATTAAATAAATGTGGATATCTACATAAAATGATATTATAAACACACTATCCTAAAAATACAGCACCATATTTTAACATTAAAGCAGTCACTGACTCGCAACAACTTGCAATCATAAGTGACAGAGTTAATTTCGAGTAAAATCAATGAAAATGGGGCATGATAGAGCAAATCTGAGATCAGATTTGGAATCAGCACCCTGCAGTTAGTCTAAAACAGCTGCAAAATTCCAGGCCAGAAAAAAAACTTTTTTTTGTTGACCAGTGTTATGTAATGTTTCAATTATAGCCTCTGAATGGTGATGGTGAGCATTAAGAAACAAGTTAAATATACATTTGTCAGATTCACCTGCAGAAAACATGTACACCACACTGTACTTGTATATTTTGTCCGAACACAAACATAATTTACCTCTCTCCAAACACGCTGGATCACAAAGTTCCGGACAATATTGTGTCACCTGAGGTTGTAGACGACAAGAGTCGCCCATACACATTCCACTTATATAGACTCGGTTGATGTGCATGCTGAGTCGGCTATTAATGTATTACAGATACTCTTGGAACAGCAGTGATCGAGACGTTTATATTTCTTTCAATGCAGCAAACAAGAGGACAGTAGTCTTGACTATAATAGTTTGTAAATGAATAGACAAGAGGTCTGTTTCACTACCAAAAAAACCCACAAAATAAATAGACATTCACATCAAAGATCCATCAGCAAATGAGCCTTCAGGACCAGGATCATGTGTTTCAACAGGCAAACCCTGAGCAGGTTTTGTCTTGTGTAGGTCTCAACAGTTCTTTGAGGACGATGCTTGCCTGTACTGTAGAAAAACCGGTTTAAAAGGCCACTCCACTCCACTGTAGCGATGTGACCCAGGTCACACCTGGTCGTGCTTTGCTGTGGAACCAACGTAACAGGTATTTTCACATTTTGGTCGTGAAATGAACCCCTGTCCGATAGTCCACGCATTGTTTGCCCACAAAACTACCAGATCAGCGCAGAATACATGATGTATTGCTGTGTACTGTCATTTTACATAGGTGACTGTAAACTTACGTAATAGTTTTTTTTTATATTTGTATGACAATTATCAATAAGCTATTTATACTGTACAGTATTTTGCAACTCAGCACCTCTCTCTGTAAGCTCTCACCTTGTTACAAAATATATGTCATCTTCAGCCATGTTATACTGGTAGGAACCCACTGGTTACACCAGCCCATAGGGGATTATTGTGTCCGTCCGTCGTGCAGGGAGGGGCTGGGTGGGGAGGGAGGGGCTGGGTTGAGAGGGGAGGGTGAGGTGGGGCTGGGTGGGGAGGGTGGGAGGGGAGGGTGGGGAGGGTGGGGAGGGTGGGGATGGGTGGGGAGGGGCTGGTCACCCCGTGGTGCCCTTATAAAACTCAACGTTTAACCTACTCACGCCGGCTTGTGCCCGCCCTCACAGTCGGGCATATTTGCGGAACACACCACGCCGCCGTTGGCCCTGGCCATTGACCGAGCAACCCAACGTTCCTACCAGCTCCCTCCGCAGGAATGTGTTAGTTAGTGACGGATGATCATGATCACGCGATGTAACATTCTATCTCGCTCCCGAAGATCAGCTAATTTCAATGCTCCATCTCCATCGAGTTATCTCCATCCTGCCCATTTCCACTTTTCTTAACAGCCAGTATAGCGTACATGCTCTCTGACCACGTGTTCCTCTTCCGATCTCAGTATAGTCTAGGGTTATTAAACGATAGCAGGTAAATCGGTAATTGTTTTCAGAATCAATTCATCATTCTGAAAGTCAGGAACCAGAAGTCGTTCCCAGGCGAATGTTAGGAATCAATGCACTGTTTGGCACGTGCTAACGTACAGACACGACTGGGTTGCACGTTCGAATCTCAGTTAAAAGCTGCAGCCCTGCAATGTTTTACTCGTACAACTGCTTGCCGAATGGTCTGGACGAGAGGGAGCGCTATAAGTGATTTGATCTACAATTGACTAAGAACGTCAGGTCAGCATGGAAGAGAAGAAGCGGGAGTTAGCCCACACATTACTCAACCACACTCGACCTTCCGATTAACACACTTTGTACCTATTTAATGTATACTGCTGGACGGACAGAAGTTTTCTTTTTTAAAGTGCCCCATTGTTTCCACTAAATTTCCAGCGACCTCTGAACTACAAGTCCGTAAGTGATAACTCTCACACCACGGCAACTCCCTTCGTTTCTTATATTAAGCAACAATGACATGTCAATGACGAGTCATTTATATTTGTGCGGCAAAATAAACAAAACAACACCCGGATTTAATATGTTTTCCAATGCGATAACCACACCTCCGAGTACACGAACCCCTCCAAAACGACCCGCGTCTATCCGGCGTGCGATTTTAAAACGGGGCTGGTGTCACGCATATGGAGACTGTAAATGATAGAACAAATAAGCAGCCCCGGGGCAAGTGATCAGAATTCACATTATTGGGGATTTTGTTGTTGTAATTTCCACATTATTCTCATGAACTTAAGCTTTCGATGGAAATCTCGTTCATTGCAATTGGTGTAGCGGTTTTCGAGTTCGCGGACACGTGTGTACAAACGTGAATATAATACTGATTATGCAGATTGGTTATCTCGATTTAACACGTAGGCTTTCGAGACCAATATTATTCATAATAAAGGTTTTTTTGGGTTAGATCGCGTAAGTATAAATGTGTCGTAACCCTCCACCACCCAACACAGCCAATTAGTAAGGGATTTGTCACGTAAACAAAACGCCAAATAGTTAATGTTTCACATCAACCTGCTCGTCTTACCTGGCTGATATGTACGTACCGGTTTTCGCCTTTTCCAGTTGCCGTCAACTCCGACCGACAGCACACAGTGACCAGGGCACGATGAAAGTGGCACGATGAAAGTTCCACGGTGACCATCCAATGGTTATCATCCACGTTGACCAGCGCACGATGATCATTCCACGGTGACCAACGCACAATAATTATTCCACTTTGACCAGCGCACGGTGATCATCCCACGGTGACCAACGCACAATAATTATTCCACTTTGACCAGCGCATCCAACGATGATCATCCCACGATGATCATCCCACGCTGACCAGCCCACGATGATCATCCCACAGTTATAGTCCCGCGGTGCCCAACCCACAATGATAGTCACCGGGTGATGGTCCCACGCTCTAAGAATTCCGGCTACAGCCCCCGCAGTTTTGCGGTAGCCGGTCCAGCCACTTTCGAACTGTGCCGGTCACTGTTCGTCATTCGTTTCGAACTCTTTCACCAGTTCCAGGAGCTGTAGAGTCAAGACGGAAATGTCCAGCAAAGCCTGCGAAGCTTAACCACACAGCGTCTTCGCGAAAGCATGTGCGCTGTAAGAATGGCGCGAATAATCTTAAATATTTATTTATGCAGTTCATGTATGGACTGCGCTATAAGTGCTGGGGCTATGTCATGGCCAGCAGACGGCAGTGTGGCAAAAATAAAAACGAATCCACGGTTCTGCATTGATATGCTCTGCCTTCTCTGCCTTGACCATCGTGGCGAGGTCATGGTCATATAACCCCCACGACCACCCGCACGGTGTGAGGATTTGGTCA